CACCTGGTATTGTGCATGCTGGGACACTTAAAGTTACTTCAAACAGAGCCACTGTTAATGTTATAGTAGCACTTTTCCCACCAATGAAAGTCTAAAAGTTTCCTTTAATGTCCAGGACTTCTTAAAATAGCTTATTATTATTTGGATCCACACTGATGTGCTGTAATTGTTGAGGAAGTAACGCTCTGTCATTCATTTTGAAGTTTATTTAAAGTTTGGAGCAACATCAGCTCATGTTTGTTTTCTGGGAACTGTAAAGTATCAGGATGGTTGTCAACAGGTGGCAGTGACACGACTACCACCGCCCTCTAGGGCCATAAAGACTGAAGCGTTTAGTAAACAAACCTTTAAAGACACCCAGCTGAAACACAGCCACCGTATTTTAACAAACCATTCAACCCCCTCCTCTCTCTCTCTCTTCAGCTAACTGTTTGCAAATAAAGCGTGATAAAACGTCAGCTTACGCCTCAGCTCCCTCTGGTAAACATCCAGCTGCTCCGCTTCCTCCTCGTCTGAGTCGAACGGTTTCATTGATTAATAACCGACGCTGTATCGATCTCTGTTACTAACGACACATGCTAGGCTACGCTAACAACAACCACAACGTCGTAACGGTCATCGAGGCTCGTTTTGATACACCTGCGTGTCCCCGGGGGGCGGAGCTGTCTTTTCTACTCATATAAACCCAATAACACCGCCCCCGTGCGGAGTCCAGAGTGTGTCGTGAATGATAAAACGAGGCAACCACCGGCTAACTGCTTCTACTTCCGTAAACTCAGACACATGCTGGGAGTTGTAGTCATCGTTTGTAGTCACAATTAGTAGTTTCACGTCTGCGACCCTGTGGTGAACACTGTGTACTGCAACCTAATGCTCCCAATGTGAGGACATTATCATTAAAATGTCCACTACGCTATATAGATACATGTGGGGTATTAAGTGAGGTATTCCTCCTACACAACTTGTTACTCCTCTTATCATTTTAGGCAAAAACAAGTTATTATTGTAAGACAAGCATGCATAGATCTTATTTTTGTTAAGAAACATTACTCAAAGTAAGGCTGTTTTGGCATTAGCAGTGAAACTAATAAACAATACATCAGCTCTCACCCAATACAACTATAACTTAAAATTATCTCATTGACGTGTTGTTGTAGTCTCTCCGTCCCCTGCATGGTCAAACATTTACTGTATCTTTAAGAAGAATATTCAAACATCAAGAGATTAAAAAATAGGTGTTATTTTGTACAGTTTTCTGTACAGCTGGGTAATTTCCAGTTTTCTTTGTTAATTAGATTTGACAAGATAAAACTTGAATGATCCCCATGTGGAAATTGTTGCTGCAGCAGAGACTATGATGCAGATAAGAGTATGAAATAAAAGAGTTATTAATGCAATGCACCTTACTAATAAAGAAAGAAAGAAAAAGAAAGTTAAGAGTCCTGAAGCTGCTGGGTTAAAGATCACCTGGTGACGTTGTTGTTTGGACCGATGTGCTGTGCTTTGCCCAGTGTCACTTTCACTTCTCTTATCATCTTATTTTGGCAGTCCAGTTAGTCACCATTGAGCAATCCCACATGCATGCACACTCTTGCACTTAAAGATCGGGTTGCTGATTAAAGGTAAACAAATAGGTGATTGCTTGTGGGATTACTCAGAATTACTTTGAAGTCATAAATAGGCCATTTGGTTGTGAAATTGTGGACATTTCCCTCAGAGAAATTGTCATAAATATTTTTAACATCCATTTAGCATTTATTAGCACTATGTCAAAGTCAAAGTCAAAGTCAGCTTTAATGTCAATTCTTCACATGCACCAGACATACAAGGAATCGAGAGGACGTTTCTCATTCACCCACAGTGAAACAGATAAAGTGCACAGGCACAACAGATAAGAACAGACA